TTTCATCACGATAAGCAACTACTTTACAAACTTTTATACAAATAAATTTGAAAAATCTAGATGAAATAGATAATTTATAAGCAAAATGATAGTTTCCCAAAAATGACCCCATAAGAGAGAGAAATTTTCATTAGAAAAAACAGAGAAAGTTATCAGAAACAACACATACATACCAGGCCCAGATGGTTTCATAGAGGAATTCCATAAAACCCTCAATGACCAGTTAATCCCAATAATACTACATAAAATATTCTAAAGCAAAGAAAACCAAGGAAATAGCCAAGTTTATTTTGTAAAACAAATGTAATGTTGATACCCAAATCTGACAAAGACAATACAAAATTTGAAAATTACAGACTAATACAATTAATGAACATTTTTTAAATCCTAAATATTAGCTAATCAAAATCAACAGATCCAAAGATTAAAATGTTATGATTATCTCCACAGATGCTAAAATATCATTTGGCAAATTCAGCATCCAATCCTGATTTAAATATACACACACACTTAAGAAAACAGAAATTGTTGGATACTCTTTAACATGGTGACAAAGCCAACATCTTACATAATGTAGAAATACAGGAAGTAATTCCTCTAAAGAAAAACAAGGCAGGGCCGATACTATTTAACACTGGACTGGAGATGTTAACCAATGATACGAGATGAGACAAATCAATTATGAGGCAAAAGTACTGTAAAGAAAGACCAAAACCCCAAGGAAAAAAAATATGCGAAGGACGTCAACAGCCAATTCACTAAAATAAATATAAAAATGGTCCTTATCAAAACAGAGAACTTAGAAGCAATGATAACAAGGAGCAAAAAGCACATCAAGTGGTTTTTAAATATCACTGTCCATTAACAAGGCCCTTAGCGAAATATCTGAGTCCTGGGCTAGGATACGTAAAGTACAAAATGAGCCTGGGACATTTTCATTTTCATTAGCCAGAAAAAAAAAGAAAATACTAAAACAAAGATGAAACACATCAAAGGGACAAGAGAACCAGTTTAAAGACCCTCTCATGGGCCTTTCACATTCAATAAATTAAACATCAAAATGATGGTGAAGGACCAAATAAAGAATCCACTGGTTCATGCTAGTATTAACATACGAGGTGGGGCTAGCTCTTACAGTAAAATGTCAATTAATAAATTTAGCAGATGGAGTTGGAAAATTCTCACTTGGCAACTTCTTATTTGTTTTATAAAATACACTTAGTTATTTCCTTGGGTTTCTATGCTCTAGAATACTTAATATAGTATCATTGGGATTAAATGGTCAAGGGTTTCATTAATGAAGCATCTGGGCACACATGCACATGTGTGTTGTTCTTGAGAGCTTTTTCTATTTTCTCAAATGTTATCGTAGTAACAACTGATTTACAACAGAATCATCAATGGATGCTAAAATTCATGGGTGAAAGTTTGATGAGGAACAAGCTATATAAAAAAACAGAATGCAGGTGTGAGACTGCTCAAGTTCATCATTACCGTCCATTAATAATGCAAAATTGCCCTCTAAATTCCCCCTACAAAATTTCTAAGACTAAAAATTATAATACTTTATTTTTGAGATTTCAACAAAATAACTTTAATATAAGAAAAGAATAAAATTTGTCTTCTATAATTTAACAAAGCATGAGTCTAGAGTTTAGGGAACAAAAATATTAGCTAATATGAACAGGAATTTTTCAAAATGTAATTATGCTAAAAAAATATGAAATAAAGTAATATTCCCAAATGAAACTTGAGTAAAATATATTTACAAAAAGCTCACTTTACAGACTGGAGTGAAACAGCCAGGAGAGTTAAGTGGTAAATTATATCATTATTAAATAAAGGGGAAAGTTTTTTCTTCCATCTAAATAATCCATAAGCAAAAACTGGCATTTTTTTAAATAAAGAAAACATACTGGTTTGGTCATATCCTAGTGTGATAGGTGCTATAACAGCAACGCTTGTAATAAACAAAGGCCTACCTTTTAAATCCATAAACTAAAAATTATGCCTAAGTAGGCTGGGCGTGGTGGCTCATGCCTGTAATCCCAGCACTTTGGGAGGCCAAGGTGGGTGGATCATGAGGTCAGGAGTTCGAGACCAGCCTGACCAACATGGTGAAACCCCATCTCTACTGAAAATACAAAAACTAGAAGGGTGTGGTGGCATGCGCCTGTAATCCCATTTACTCAGGAGGCCAAGGCAGGAGAATTGCTTGAACCCGGGAGGCAGAGATTGCAGTAAGCCAAGATCGTGCCACTGCACTCCAGCCTGGCGACAGAGCAAGACTCCATCTCAAAAAAAAAAAAAAAAAAAAATGCCTAACTACTGGCATAACTCAGAGATATTGCAGGTTCAGTTCCAGACCACCTTAATATAGCGAATATTACACTAAAGCAAGTCACACACATTTTTTGGCTTCCCAGTGCATATAAAAGTTATGTTTACACAATACTGCAGTCTACTAAGTATGCAATAGCATTACATAATAAAAAACAATGTATATACCTTAATTTAAAAATACTTTGTTACTAAAACCTACTAACACTCATGTGAGCCTTCAGTCAGTCTTAATGTTTTTGCAGGTGGAGCATCTTGCCTAGATGTTTATGGCTGCTGACTGATCAGGGTGGTAGCTGAAGACTGAGGTGGCTGTGGCAATTTAAAAAAATAAGACAATAGAGTTTGCTGCATCAATCAACTCTTCCTTTCAGGAAGATTTCTCTGTAGCATGTGATGCTGTGTTTCACAGCATTTTATCCACAGTAGAACTTCTTTCAAAATTCCTATCAAACCTGCTGCTGCTTTATCAACTAAGTTTGGGTAATATTCTAAATCCTAATCCGTTGTTGTCATTTCAGCAATGTTCACAGCATCTTCACCAGAAGTAGATTCCACTTTCTTTGTTCATCCATTAGAAGCAACTTCTCATCTGTTTAAGTTTTATCATGAGACTGCAACAATTCAGTCCCATCTATGGGCTCCACTTTTAATTATAGTCCTCTAGCTATTTCCACCACATCTGCAGTTACTTTCTGCACTGAAGTCTTGACCAAAGTCATCTATTAGGGCTGGAATCAACTTCTTCCAAACTCCTGTTCCTGTTGACATGAGTGTTCTTAATGACATCTAGAATGGTGACTCCTTTCCAGAATGTTTTCAATTTACCCAGATCCATCAGAGAAATCACTACCTATATCTGGCATGTATTTCTCAAAAAATTAGACCTGAAAGTTGAAATTACTCCTTGAACCATGGACTGCAGAATGAAAGTTGTGTTAGCAGGCACGAACACAACATTCATCTCCTTGCATATCTCCGTTATAGCTCTTGGGTAACCAGGTATATTGTCAATGAGCAGTAATATTTTTAAAGGACTCTTTCTGATCAGTAGGTCTCAACAGTGGGCTTAAAATATTCAATAAACCATGCTGTAAAGAGATATACTGTCATCCAGAATTTGTTGTTCCATTTATAGAGCACAGACTAGATGTAGCATAATTTTCAGAATGGTAAATGAGTACTGGCTTCAATTTAAAGTCACTAGCTGCATTAGGGCCCTAACAAGAGAGTTGGCCTGTCCTTTGACACTTTAAAGCCAGGCACTGACTTCTCTCTAACTATGAAAGTCCTAGATAGCATTTTCTTTCAATAGAAGGCTGTTTTGTCTACATTGGAAATCTGTTATTTAGTGTAGCCACCTTCATCAATGATCTTATCTAAACTTTCTTGGATAACTTGCTGCAGCTTCTGCATCGGCACTTGCTGCTTCACCTTGAACTTTCATGTTATGGAGATGGCTTCTTCCTTAAACCTTATAAACCAACCTATGCTGCCTTCAAATTTTTCTTCTGCAGCTTCCTCATCTCTTTCTGTCTTCACAGAATTGAAGAGAGTTAGGAACATCTCTAAATGTTGTGGCTGCTTTGATCTTCTATTCAAACCACTAAAACTTTCTCCATATCAGCAATAAGGCTGCTTTGCTTTCTTATCATTCTGTGTTCACTGGAATGAACTTTAATTTCCTTTAAGAATTTTTCCTTTGCATTCACAACATGGCTAACTGTTTGGTGCAAGAGACCTAACTTTTAGCCTATCTCAGCTTTTGACGTGTCTCTCTAAGCTTAATCATTTCTATCTTTTGATTTAAAGTCAGACATGTGACTTTTCCCTTCACTTGAACAGTTAGAAGCCATTGTAGAGTTATTAATTGGCCTAATTTCAATACTGTTGTTTCTCAGAATAAGGAGGCGCAAGGAGAGGGAGAGAGATAGGGGAACTGCTAGTGATGCAGTTCAATCAGACACAACATTTATCAATAATTCACCGTCTCACAGAAGTGCAGTTCATGGCACCCCAAAACAATTACAATGGAAACATCAAAGATCACTGATCACAGATTATCATAACAGATATGAAATGAAAAAGCTTGAATATTGTGAGAATTATCAAAATGTGACAGAGACACAAAGTGAGCATATGCTGTTGAAAAAATGGCATCAATAGACTTGCTCAATGTAGGCTGACAAAAATCTCTAATTTGTAAAAAACTCAGTATCTGCCAAGTACCATAAAGTGAAGTCCAATAAAACAAGGTGTGCCTGTATGTACAAGTCAAATTTTGATTGAACAAAATTCTAATTTGACATAGTCAAACTATCAGGTATAGGAGTATTTCTTTAATGTTTTTAAAAGCAGTGAAACCATTTTTTTCATAACAAAATCTTATACAGAATCCCAAAATGGAAAAAAAGCACAATTTCCCTGTTTGAATTCAGGATGAAGTATCCAGAAAGTGTAGTATTCTACATGTCTTCCTTCCAGGTCTCTATTAGAAAATCTAGGCATCTAGAGTTTAAGCAAAGTACACTATAAAGGGTTCTTAATTATAAAAAGATACCAATTCAACTAACTGTAATAAAATAAGACTTTTTTCTTCAGTCTACTTACCTACATTCCACATATAGGCTTGTGATCTTACAGTGACATTTTATTCTAAGCATCTGAACACAAGGTGGACATTCTCCAGGGTGACATGGCAAAATACACGGGTGAAGACAACCTAGTGGCCGTGACTTGGAGCACCCTTCCTCACAATGAAGGCATTCTGGTCCCGCCTGAAAAATAGCATGGAAATAAATCACCTAAGTACAAGGTAAGCCTAACATTTCTATATGTTAGAGTTATAAAATTTATATATACCATTAAAATAAAGTACTTCTGCAGCTCTTAGAAACACAGTTAATCAAATGGTACATGCTCTCATTTATCTTAAAAATATTAAAACTAAAGAATAGCAAGATTGTCAATATGACTATTATCCATATAGATTCTTTTTGCCTATGAGACTCATTAAGTCAAATTGCCTCATTTTTAAATGAACCTTAAAATGAACTTGACTATATAAAGTATCCCACTAAAAATGTAAATTGCTTCCTAAAGAATAGTCAAAGACAGAAAAAAAAATACACAGGAAATGTTCATTGATTTCTATGCAATAATCAACACTGACCTAAAGAAATCAATACACTGTTAACACATAAATAAAAATTCCAAAGCACTAAACAGTCTGGAGGTAATTATCTCACCTTGCCAAAGAGAAACACATATAGAGTGAAAAAATAATGACCAGTAGTTTATATTTTAATGCACATCAAGGAATTAAAGTTAAATTACATTTTACAAATAAATGTACCTCAATGTAACTTAACAAGGCACATTTTTTCTAGTGATTTAATAATGTTAAATCCCTTTTCTCTAGTGATTTAATAATGTTAACTAGTATTACAATCTACTAAAGAAGGTTAAAAATACTTGTTTCAGGATATTGTTTGTTTTCTCACATCACACTTGAGGTAAAATAAGAGAGCTATAGACGTGGATATTAAATCTTAAAGGTCAAACATTTTTATTATCATTCCAAAGAGAAGCCATGATTACAACAATTATTATGATAAAATTCTAAGCTATTTTTTGACATATAGGATTAAAAAGAAATAGTGTTTCAAATTATAAAAATATTATTTTATAATTTTATAAAATAATTTTATTTTTAAAAAGTATATTCATTTATTCCACAAATACTCAACACTTATGTGCTGGGAATTGTTCCTGGCACTGGGAAGACATGAGATAGGCTCCTGGAACCTACATTTACATGGGGAGGTAAAGAACATAAATATAATGTCTTATAACTACTCTGAAGAAAGATAAAGCAGGATAAGAAAGAGTGATGGCAGCAACAAGAAGGAAACCTGACTGATAAAGATCACGTGTGAATAGAAATTGAGTTAAATGAGGGAGAGAGCCACCAGAAAGGAGAGTTCCAGAGGTAAGGAACAAATACAAAGGCTCTAAGAAAAAACAAATGTGGAATGTTCAAGTAACAGGATGAACAGAGGTAGAAGTGAGTAAGCAAGAGAGTGATGAGTAGTCAGATGAAAGTTGGGAAAGATCATTACTGAGCCTTTATAGGCCATTGAAAAGGATTTAAATTTTGGCCAGAGAGTGACTGAAAACTACCAAAGGATATGGAGCAGGAAGATGATACTCGATTTACATTTTTCAAAAGATTATCTGGCTGATGCAATAAAACAAAGTGAGAGTAGAAAAGCTGGTTAGGAAATTACTGCAGAAACCTAAGTCAAAGGTGATGGTGGCTTAGATGAGGATGGTAGAGGTACAGGTTATGATAAACTGTCAGATTCAGGATCTATTTTGATGATAAACCTAACAGGATTATCTGTGGGAAAAGGACAACAAAGACAAGAAAGAAATCAAGCATGATTCCTATGTCTTTGATCTGCACAACTGGGTAAAAATGGTAACATGACTTTCTGAGATGGGAAAGACTGAGCAAGTATTAGGCAGTGAGTAACAAAATATGCAAAGAGAACCAAAGTTAACATAAAGAGTTTATTTCATTTGCTCTTCCTATGTGGTACACCTACAAAAATCTTCTATTTAAATAACATGAATAGAAGAGCATTATTGGGCTGGGAGTTAAAAGATCAGGCATAGTACTTTCTGATTTGCTACTCTCCTGTTGCAGAATCATGGACAAGTCACAGAGCTTCAGTTTCTCTATTTGCAAAACAAAAAGTATACTTAGAATATGAGCTCCTTCCAGCTATGGGGGAAACAAACAAACAAACAAACAAAAATCACAGAATCTACACTAGCTAAGCTATTTTCCTGGATCACTTCCAATATCAAGTTCTATCTTCTAGGAAAGACTATCTTAGTTAAGAAATACAGCAAGTCAATCTGTCAAATATCATATGCAGTTCTCATTTAAAAAGAAAAACAGAAGCTTTAACCCAGGAAGCAATTTGGGGATTATCCACAATAAATCTCTTAATAGTCACATCAGCTTTGAAAATAAGCTTTTTCTGAATCACTTCATATTCTGGAAATCTGGAAGAGGGAAGCCATAGAGCAGCTACACCGTAACTAGTTAAAATGATTCTGTATCATTATTTGTTAGTTTGATTTTATAATTCTAGTATCCTTTTGTTTTATCATGAGTACATTTTTGAGGGTCAAGTCATGGATCGATGAAGAAATTATAAGCAATACATTTACACATATGCTTGCACATGAAAAAGAAGAATACCTATGTTGTCATGTATTATAAATTGAAGACAAAAAAAAACCTAACAATGCAACTAAAATTTTCAATAACACAAGTCATATTAATAATTTAAATAGTTGTAAATTCAATGTTAATAATAAAGTGACACTTAAATTTTCTGGCCTATTTCTCATTTAGACACAAGTATTACAACTCCCTATAGAATGGAAGTCTAGAAAAAAATTATTTTACAACTAAAGTTTAACACTAGCTACATTTGTTTTTCCTTGTAAGATGACAGTTTTTAGAGATCTTTGAATAGCTGAGTTCTCAAACACTTGTAAAATGCTTTTAGTTAATTATACACATAGAAACAGTGCTCATCTGTGATGCCATTTATTTTACTTTCAACAAAAGATTGGGAATTTATTTAAATTTATTAAAATTATGAACAACATCCATCCTGTGTGTCAGGTTTGAAAACTAACTTGGAGTAAATGCTCTAAACTCAGATATGAACAGAAAGAAATGGAGGTGATACTCTTACCTACTATCTAAGAAGATACATAATCTATGTATTTTTATCATAAAACCATATCCTATGTATTAACACAGGTACAGTATGTAAAGGATTCCACATTAAAAGGCACATTATTATGAACTGGAATAAACATACAGAACTATAAACACCAAGCTGTTTAAGGCAGCTGTTTTAGGAAAGGCAAGGAAGGAGAAGGGATGAGGGCAAAAAAAGAGGAAGGAAGCTAAAGCAAAACAGAAAAATATTTATGGTATAACTGCTGCAAAAACGTTTCAAGAATACTACGGGCAGATATACATTCAATCTAAGAACATTACCTTGTTTTTTCCAGTGCAGCCATCAATTGTGGTTACTTTGTGGCATTCTTTCATACATGTGTGATTCTGACAATCTAAGATTCTTCCACAAACTCTTTTACAAGAGTAGGGTCCTACAGCATGGCATGGTAGTGGACTCACCTTAAAAAATAAAGGAAATCAGCACAGCACACATTACACAAATGTTTCTGGACATATTACATATTTCTAAAATTACTCTGCTATCATTTGAGAACAAGTTTCAGAAAGGTATAATAAGTTTGCACAGATAATAATATTGATTATCAAAATCAAAGTAACCTATCAAAATATTCCAAAGTAATGAATGCCAAGATGCAAAACATCCTCCTCCTAAAAGGAAAATTCAATACGATTTGGTAGTGAATGCATATCCACAGGCTAATTCTCAAATAAAGGCACTACATATTTTTTAAATTAGTAAACTCTTATACTCTTTATAACAGTAAAAAACAATACTTTGACTTTATTATTTCTAACAACTCTAGTAAAGCTATACTATGTAATAGTATAGATTATAAGCTTTACTTTAAAATTGTGCCTATAACTCACCTCATGTTTCCCAAGACATTCCCTACAAGGAAAAAATAAAATAAAATGAAAACATTACAAATTATTCAAAAACAATATCTAAAGATGCTAACTCTACTAGCAGTAAAAAAATAAACAAAAATGGAATAAGCAATTATAGCAAAGTTACAGGACACAAAGTTAATATGCAAAGGTCAATTGATTTCCTATATAGTAGCAATGAGCAATTAGAATTTGAAGTTAAAAACATAACACTACATTAGCACAACAAATGAAATACTTGGGTATGAATTTAACAAAATATATACAAGACCTCTATGGGAAAACTACAACATACTGATGAAAGAAATCAAAGATTTAAATAAATGAAGAGATATTCCATGTTCACAGTTACAAAGACTCAAAATTATTAAGATGTAGTTTATTTCCAATTTGATCCAGATTCAATATGATTCCAATCAAAATACCAGCAAGTTATTTTGTATGTATCAACAAACTGATTCTAATGTCTATATGGAAAGATAACAGACCCAGAACAGCCAACACAATACTGAAGAAAGAAAAGTTGAAAGATTACAGATAGATAGGAAGAACAAGTTCTGGTGTTTTACAGTTATCCCACAGTGCTATAAAACTATTGTTATCTATTGTTAACTATAGTATCTATTGTTAACTATAGGTAACAATAGTTACCTATAACAATGGATATCTATATAGATATCTATAACTATAGTTACAGATAACTATAGTTAACAATAATATATATTTTCAAATAGCTAGAAAAGAGGATACTGAATGTTCCCAAAACAAAGAACAATATCCATTGTCTGAGATAATGGATATGCTAATTGCCCTGATCTGATCACTATATATCACACTATATATCACTATATCACACTGTATGTACTGAAACAGCATTACATTTCCTATAAATATGTATAATTATTATGTATCAATTGAAAATAAAAGTTAAAATCCAAAACACTGATAATACCATATGTTGGTGAGAATATAGAGCAACAATTCTCACTCATTGTTGTGAGATTGCAAAATGATTCAGACGCTTTAGTAAACAGTTTGACAGCTTCTTACAAAGCTACACAAAGTCTTACCATATGATCCAGCAATTATACTCCTAAGAATTTACCCAAATGAGCTGAAAACTTATGTCTACA